TATATATATAGATATTCCAATCAAAATATCAATAGCATCAACAGTGCTCTTCACAGAACTTTAAAAAAATCCTACAATTTATATACAACCAGAGGAGTCACTTTTTAAATTATTTTTACTCTCAGACATTCTCAACTCTGTTTTTTTATCTCAGACATTCCTATGTTATTACTTCTCACCCCCACTGATCCCACTATTTTCAGTACATACTGTCCATCTAGAAGCTTTTCTTTTTCTAATGTCCATCTTTGAAAGAAAGAGAGAAGACAGCATCAATATCATGGCAATTACTAAGGTCATAAGGAGGCCAGGCTTTACAGAAAGATGGGACCTCTGAAAGCTTTGGACAGTCATACACACTACATTCTTTTCCTCACGTATCTTTTCTTCTATATTAATTCCTATATTTTTAGTGTTTGCTGTACTTGGAAGGCTGATATATGCTATTTAATCCACACGTCCAAAACACCCAATTGCAAACTCTGCAAATATTGCCTGATATAGCAAAAGAGGCTTTAAACATGAGCTTAAAGATGGTGGGTTATTTAAATGTACCTGATGTGAACGAATAAAAGTAAGACAGTAGAATAGAGAGGAGGAAGCAACCTGACAACAGAAGCAAAGTTTGGCGTGAATATGGCCACAAGCTAAGCGAAACCAAACAACTTTCAAATCCAAAAGGAGCAGGGACACTTTTTTCTCCAGAAATTCCTTAGGGAATGAGCACTGCTGACTCCTTAACTTTAGGCAGGTGAAACTGATGTTGGACTCCTGGCTTCCATAACTCTAACAGAACAAATTTCTATTTTAAGCCATCAAGATTATGGTAATTTGTTATAGCACTCAGAAGATGTGAGCACATTTTATCAGGAAAATGTCAGTAAACACAATAGTCTTCATGCAGTTTGAGGAGTTTGTGATCTGCATGCAGGGCAAGTTTAAGATTCAAAGGATAAGCTTTCTGGTCACCTGATAATTCAAATAAATACTTGTATCATCTGAAGAATAAGAAACAAACTCTCTTAATGAGTCTGCCAGCTCCTTTCAACTCATTAAAAAGGAATTATGGAACTCTTTCTCAATTTTATCCAAAGGTTAAAAATCCTTCAGGGTAAACACAGAAGATTAAAGAAAGCTAAAATTTCCAGTAAGTGGCCCTTAAAGAAAGTAATGACTGACATCTTCTAACCTTTTAGGTCACAGAAATTTTAACTTCCTTTTTTTGCCACCATGCATATAATTGTGTTCTAATTCTACTGGCCCAGATTTTATTAAATGATTCAAAGTAATTTTACAACTTAAAAAATGAAAATGCATGCAAATCAATATTTCCATAGCAATCAAACTAGAAATATTGTGTCAATTGATTGTTAAACTAGCAGTTAGGACCTAAAATGGTAGACATCTTGGCCACATCTATATTTTTGGTTTAGTAGATCATAAACAGTTTCAAAGGTTGAAGAGAAGATGAGCAGTCAGGACTTTAGGGGGCAGAAATAAATGAAGACACCATTTAAAAAATAATAACACAAGTAAATGAAAAGGCAAGAATTTGAATTTAACAAATATGCTTAGCTCTTCATAGAAGCATGATGAATGCATGATGAGCGGTGGTTTAGTAAGAGTTAAATATTTTGAGATGGACAAAAAGGACTCTGTTTTAATGAGTTGTGACTTTCTCTTTTATTAAGTGACATTTAAATGTATTTATTAGTGTCTAACCTAGGGGAAAATTCTTTTTCTGTACTTTAGTGGCTTCTTAAGAAAAGCAGAGATAATAGCATGTACTTTTTAGACATGTCCTTTAGATAGTATGAGACTCTTAATATGAAAATACTTAGAATGCATTTAACATAGAAGCATAGAATGTATTTAACATAGAAGCAAATTACATATTATTTTTGTTTAATTTTCTGTAGCTGTAATTTAAGGAATTACAATTACCAATTAGAATAATGAAAAATGTTACTCATTTACTTTAATGTTACAACACAAAGTCCTATAAAATCACTGTCATTTCTGCAAGTTAATGCAAAACTGAATAGTCCTACTCTAGAGAGTTAAGGAAGATAACTTGCTTGACATCAGAAAACCAGTCAATTCTCTTATTTAGTCCATATTCTTTTGTAGTGTGTAATATTAGCTAATTCCTGGAAGGTAATACATGCATTCATTTAGGACTTCAATATTGAGTTTACCTGGATTTCAATCCTGTCATGATTAACTACCAAATGTCCCTGAAATTCAATTTTCACATCTTCATAATTGTGCCGATAGTAGTCATATATGTGGCTGTGAGGATTAGATTAGATAAAATGTGTAGTTAGTATATCACTGAAGGTTCAATATTTATTTTTTACAATTATCATCAGCTATAATCTTTTAATATTATTGTTATTAAGTATTATTATTTTTAT